ACAACCATCTGCGTAACTTATGGTAATAAATACATCTTTTACACCACCATGCTGTGTGCCTCTGAATGAGTTCCCTCCCCTCTCTGGGCTGGGTTTCTACACCTACATGGCTCCACCCTTTCCTTTCTAAACAGCTTAGGAGTGGTCAGCAATTCACAAGTCTGAAAACCACAACTGCACTTAGATACAAACCTTGGAAGAAAAAACAGTGCTCTCTTCCAGCATGACTGCTCTATGATTCACTGCAGAAATTAATTTGCTAACACCCTGGCTTCCTGTCAGACAAATCTAGTCTGTTTCGTGTGTGTGGCACAGTGACAGGCCCGGCTGCTGAGAAACCAGAGCCTGAAGTTCTGGCCCAGGCCTTCCCTCATTTTACAGATGCCGCGGACACTGGGATCTCTTGGTTCTCATGTAGAATACGCTCTTCGATAAGCCACGTAAATATGTTTCATGGACGCACAGCTGGCAAGATGGGGGTGCAGGCCGTTTGCAGTACATCATTACCGGCCTAGGGCAGCCACACACATGGTGTTGGGCAGAGGTCGACTCTCACTTGACCCTGACCACTGACACTTGACCACTGTACCTGTGACAGCATGTGGTTAACATCTGTAAGGATCACTAGCTTGATGGAAGAGGGAAGTGGGGACAGGAGAGGGAAACGACAAAGTGGGTCTCCAGCGCTTATGCTCTATTTACTCGGCACCTACTACGTGCCAGGCACTGCTCCAGACACTTAGAAGACATTGGCAACGGCAACAACAACAAAAACCCCCAAGATTCCTGCCGAAGAAAGGGAAGGCAGGGCAGGATAAAAGCACTGGGAGTCCTGAGGACGAGGGAGGGACGCAGCTGCAAACAGGGAGGTCATCAGGATGGGCTGCACCGAGCAGGTGATATTGCAAGCAAAGACTGGAAGGATCTGTTCCTGTGAGTATCTGGGAAAAGCATTCCAGGCAGAGGGAACAGCCAGTGCACAGCACAGGGAGAAAAGTGACATAATCTAACTTTCTACGAGGACCGGCTGCTGTGTTGAGAACAGACGGCAACAGACAGCACGGGGCAAAGGTAGAGAGGCAGGCAGACAGAAGGCCACTCCGGTGCTAGCCAGGAGGATGGTGGTGGCTGGAACCGGTGGGCAGCGGGGCAGGAGGAGAGAAGAGCTCAGCTGTTTGGAAATTAAAGCCAGGGCACTGCCTGAGGAATGGGGGTGAGGTAGGAGAGAAGGATACATTTCGGCCAACTGGAAACGAGACAAAGGACACCCTACAACAACCAGTCCTGGGGGTCCACACATGGCCCAGCCACCGGGGAAGGCTTTTCTGCTACACGCCACTGTACGCGAGGGAGGGTTAGAGCAGGGTCCCGCAGGACCCCAGGCCAGGCTCCAAGAAGCAGCATCCACAGTAACGAGGCGCTGGACAGATGCTTCCCCGCGGACGGGTATCCAGGGAGATGATTATAAAATCACGCACAATCAGAGAGGAAATCCAGAGGTCATTCGAGGTACAAACAGGAAATAAGAGAATCGGGGGGATTGGGGGCCAGGAGGGCAGACGCTGAGGATGGAGTTTTAAAGTACGTGAAGTGTTTTCTCACATTCACTAAACCGTCCTTGAATCCCATCCAGGGTAGGAAAAAAGAGAACATCTTTTTGTCTGATGGGTGCAGAAGGACAGACATACAGAAAAATCTTCTAATAGTGTTAGTCATGACAGCTTCCTTTTTAGGTCAGAGGAAGGGGGATAAATGCTTGGTGTCTTGGGACCGTTTAGTGAGAGAGAGAGAGAGAGAGAGAGAGAGAGAGAGAGGAGAGAGAGAGAGAGGAGAGCGAGAGAGAGAGAGAGAGAGAGGCTAAGTCCAGCTCTTCCGATCTGGACTTAGTAGCAGTGGAGAGAGAGAGAGAGAGAGAGAGAGAGAGAGAGAGAGAGGGTGAGTGTGTGTGTGTGTGCGTGCGTGCGTGCGTGTGTGTGTGTGTGTGTGTTTGGACTAGATGTTCTGCTGGGATCTGTCCTGCCCCTGCCCTGGCTCCACTGACGTGCATTTACCAAAAACAAAAAATAACCAAAAACTGAAATGTTATAAATAGCAGTACAGTGTCAACATCTGCCAAAAAGAGCACAGACATGCTCCTGAGCCATGTGGCAGGATTCGTAAAAAAAGCCGCCCCGCGAGAAAGAAACCAACGTTGTTCTCTATTTTAAAAGAAACCTCAAATGCTTCACGCATCTATTTTCACAATTTAAAACAGAAAACACTATTCCACAAATATGTCTCTGGCACTCATGTTTGCGTCTTCTCGATGGTGCACCTCTCCTGCCGACCTCCTCTGCTCTCGGAGCCCCCCGACACTCCTGTCAAAACCTACCCATGCGTGCGCCCAGGTCTCATCCCTCCAGCCCTGACTTCAGGGGAGGCAGCCCCTCCCCTCTCAGCAGAGCCCGCAGAAGCTGCTGTCAGTCAGGCCCTGCCCGCCAGGGGCCTTCTGAGCTTGCTGCAGCCGTTGGGATTCTCGTCCTTAACTTTCCCAGGGCTCCCCATCTCATCAATCCAACTTCTCCATCAGAACTGGGGCCAGAACCTCTTCAACTGACGTGCACTGATTCTATATGGTGCTGGGGACCAGACGGCAGGCAATTCACCTGTCAGCTTAAAAGCGGCTTCCCCACAGTGTTCTAAAATCGGATTGTTGGGGAAGGTTGCACAACTCTGTCCATTTATGAAAAGAATCACTAAATTGTATACTTAAAATAGGTGAATTTCATGGTATGCAAATTATACATTAATAAAGCTATTAAAAAAAATCAGCGTCCACATCTCTGCAGGTGTTTCTGTCCAGCGCCAGACCCGAGGTGCGACCTGGGTTCCTTGCATGTGGACAGTCTCTTGGCCCCATGTCGTTCAAAGGGGCTAGAACAGAGACTCAGCTAGGGGGAGGGCTGGAGCCAGGGTTCCGGCGAGTGGAGGTGCCTGCCGGAGAAGGGGCGCCCAGAGGGCAGGCTTCCAAATGGCAGCAGGTGGGGGGGGGGGCACTGACAACGGGAAGGTGGCACACTACGCAGTATGATGGGGTGATGGGCTGACATGCTGCCTGGGTGGGGGAGGAGGACGTGGTTAGTATTAGATTGAATCATATGCCACCGTCATTTTTGTAGGTCAAATGGTTGAACACTGGCAATCGCCTACAGCTCAACCTAACGCCTGTCCGTGTGTGATAACGGACCGGAGCTCAGGCTCGTGCGTTGGATGGAGCAAATTCCCAATCGGCCCCTCTGCTCATGGGCTAAGCGACCGAGGGCTTGTCACTTCAACTCCGTGAGCTGCCGTTCTCTCATCTATAAACAGGATGGCACGGTCACACCCCGGAAGCACATTTTCCTTTCCGTCTTTAAATGCATGTCCCATGCCCAGCACACGGTAGGCTCACCAAAGGCTCAAGCAGGGAGCATCCTTCTTTCCTGCTCCACTGCCTTCCTCTCCTCATCTTACGATGTTGTCTCTAGAGCAGATGGAATAGTAGAACTAAGCCTGAACCACCAACCTCTCCGGGCATCTCTCTTCTAACATCAGCCCCTCAAATAAGTCAGGACAAGCAGCACAGTTCTGCTCAGCAAAGCAGACCCTTACTTTCCTGATGTTACTGCAGAAACACAGGAGTCACAACTGTCCCTGGAGCCCAGGGCTGCATCTGAGTCCTCTACCTGGGGGAACCATGAAATAAAGCCAGTAAACTAATGGCCCTAAGGCAGAGCTGGGGGTGGCGCGAACCAAGGGCTGCCTGTTATTAACGCACCAAGGGGGGAAGGGTGAGGGGCCACCGGGTGGGCCTGGGTACGCTCTGCAGAGCCAATGTGTAAGGCTGGGGGTGCTCACGGGTCAGCGGCACCGAAGATGAACAGGAGGTCAAGGAACCCCCTTCCTTTGGCTCCCGTAGCAAAAAGGGAAGTGGGGCCCAGGAGGACCGCCTCCACGAACAAAGTGATTAAATGCTCGGCTGCCCTCGACCCGGTGGCCCCAGAAGCCGCTGCTCTCAGGGCCAGGGCTCCTCTATGAGAAATGTCCTCGACGGGTCACTTGGTATACTTCTCCTCTGCTCTCCAGCCAACTGAGCTCACGTGGACAGGAGCAAGGACAGCCAGACTCCAGGGAGAGCAGGGCGGGGAGGGACCGACAGAGGGAAGCTTCAGTTCCTTCTGCAAAAGGCTCTAACGTGTGGGATCCTTCCTGCATTCCTTGACTCCACACCTAGCCCAGGAGGCTAACAAGGTCTCCACGGGAACCAGGGAAGTTCCAGTCAGCGAGCACATCTGTCCCTGGGGCCTGCAAGCTTTCATCCATGAGCCACGGGTCCAGGTGAACGCACACAAAGGTGGAGGGGAGGAAATCTATCACCCTGTTTAACCAACCCAGTGTGTTAACTATCAGGGATGAACTAAGCCCTGGCTCTCTGGAAGGTGTCCAGGAGGACATTTCAGTCTTTCAAAGTCACACCGAGTGTCCGAAACTAGGACTTAGAACCTTGCCCACTCAGGCCTCAGAGACCAGAGGGAGACATGAAAACAGACACACGACAGGATGTCCCGGTGAGATCTACCACAGGGGGAATAAAGCAGCACAGGATCCCAGCGGAAGGGACATTAGCTCCCTCCAAAGATCCTTTCCTGCCAATAGAGACCACACCCCACGATGGTGTGAGGAGAGACCCCTGGGGGTCCATCATACAACTCGGGGCCCTAAGCCCGAGGCCTCGCCTGCCTCTGGGCTCCAATCCCAGGGGTCAGAGGAGATATTCTTAAGGAAGAAATGTGCTCTTGGCGTGATGCCTCAGGGTGATAAACCCACCCGTTATGATCACACCCGAATGATCACGTGCTTTCACTGTGCTGGCTCCAAGCTGGCAGCCAGAGCTCTGCCTCTGACAGCTGCCCAGGGCTGATGGCCCTGCCCAGGCTCTACAGGGGGTGGGGGGGGGGTCGGGGGGGGTGGCTTTCACTCACCAGACAGCGGGTCTTTGCCAATCATCAAGACATTGGGCAAATTCATTACGATCAGCTGCTGGAGAACTTCCTACAGAAACAAAGGGGAAAGGATACCATTAAGCACAGAAAACAGAATAAAGACTGATTAAGACAATTACAGTTTACCAAGTTGCTGGATGAGTGTGCCAGCCATTAAACAGTAACTATGAAAACACCATATAACAGGAAGGAATAGTTAAGATACCAGTAAGCGAAAAGTCAAAAAAGCGAATTGTGCTTCCGCCTTGATTATTACCAAATAAAAATTAGGTCTGCGTGTGTACAGAGACTTTGGGAAAAAGAAGATACATCAGATGCTAGATTAGCAGGATCAGGAGTTTCTTTTTAAAAGATGTCTTTATTTTTACGGTATGGTTTGCTTGTGCAATTAAAAAATACAGAATAAAGATTAAACGGATGCTACTGTGTCTTTACAAGCTGACGATTTGGGATCCTAGCTTTCGGCAGGTCTTTGGTACAGGCTGTAAGTGAGACTTCTCTCTTTTCAGCAGTGACTTCCCTGGGGGAGGGATAAATCACAGCTACTCTGTGCCCGTCAGAGAGGGGACACACGGGAAGTGAGCTGCCTTCTGCCCTCACACCAAGGGCCTCTGAAAGAAGGCCCAGGCACCAGCCATCGGCCATGTCCCCTTGGGGTAGGGATGGCTAACAAAGTTCTCCTTGGAGTGTGCCGACCCACCACTCATGCTTCCTAGAGCAATTCTCAGGGCACGTTGGTCTTCCCTGCCCAGATGTGCCTTGCTTTTCACAAATCGGAAGATAAAAAAATCTAATTTTACAGAAGACAAGCAAGGTAGTAGGATTCCTAAGTATTCTTGGTCCTACAAAAGTGGTCAAGAAACTCTTGACCAACAAAGCTCCTCTTATGCCTTTAAAAAAAAATGTTTCCGGGCTTCCCTGGTGGCACAGTGGTTGAGAGTCCGCCTGCTGATGCAGGGGACACAGGTTCGTGCCCCGGTCCGGGAAGATCCCACATGCCGCGGAGCGGCTGGGCCCGTGAGCCATGGCCGCTGAGCCTGCACGTCCGGAGCCTGTGCTCCGCAACGGGAGAGGCCACAACAGTGAGAGGCCCGCATACCGCAAAAAATAAATAAATAAAATAAATAAATAAATAAATAAAATGTTTCTATTGAGACACGACTTTTTTCCCAGCAGTCGCTCTACTGATGACGTGATGAATCTCTGTACTCAGTACACTGCCAACCAGCACTGATGAAGAAAAAGGGGACAATTAACACGATCGGCTAATCCCACAGGGCCCAGCTGGACACCTCAGAGCTCTCTGAATCCTGAGAATGGTGGCCTAGGCAAGCACGCCTGGAGAGGCCAACACCTTCACAGAATGTACAAAATGATTTGAGCCACTCTCCATATTATCTTTCCATGGCTCCTGCCACACCAGAAATTGAGGGGAGGGAGGGGATGCTAAACCAGGAGGAGTACCCCACTCCCAAACACACGGGCCCCTCTGCACTCAGTGTTGGAGGATGTCTTTCTTTACTATCTGAGGTCACGTGTCACCTCACCAGAGATGGTCAATGTTTTCTCAAACAAGTCTCAGTGCTGGACAGAGTCTGAGCTGCGTTACAGCCTCAGCTCTCCTTCAGGGCTTGGAAAAGTCAACGCGGAAAAAACTGTTTCTCAATTGAATGAGCTCACCAAAGGATTCCACAGTCCCTCCCTGGGGGCAAAACACACACTGAGTAAAATCAGGTAAATCCACTTCTAGCAGAAGGAAGGACTCCCAACCAGATGGGTCCATCCTGTCGTGGAGTCCCTATCCAGCCTCAACACTAAACTCAAGTGCTCAGCCCAACTTCTAGAAGATTTCCTTCTTATCACTGTCCAACCAGCTACAGTCCCCTTTGAAGTCTTGGCTGGTTTCCTCTGCCATGGTCCAACTGTCTGGAGTGCCAGCCCTATTTATCAGGGTGCTCGAAGAAGGGTGCACACGTTTATGAAGGAGATACAGAATGAGAAATCATCTTGAAGGTCTCTGCATTGCAATAATGCAAAGTGGTATTTTTATGCTTATGATTACCTAAGCAAAAGACTGCTGGAAACACTGCTAGAAAATATTGCTGGAAAATCCATGTATTCTCCTTCCAAAACTGGATGGTTCATTTTGTCTAATCAGTATTTTCTAATTTTCCCACAAGAAATATGTATCACTTGCACAATTAAGAAGTAATGTTTTATTAACAATGTTTCCATGATGTGTTCCTCTCAAAACATCATGGGCCTCCCAAAAGTTAATCCAAAATTTGGGGGCCAAAGATACCCCCAAGACCTTAACTGCTCCCGCCAAAGGACCACCAATCACATTTCCAGCAAAAACAGGCTCAGAGGTTTGAGTACAAAGGTCAGAGCTGGCCAGCAGAAATACAACATGAAACACATTAATTTCAAATGTTCTTAGTAGTCACCTTAGAAAAGTAAAAAGAAACGAGTGACAACATACAAATCATATACTTTAATTAAACCAACATTTCCAAAATACTGTTTCACCACATAACCAACATAAAACCATGAATGAGACACTTCACGTTCTTTTTTCACACTAAGTCTTTGAAATTCAGTGTGTAGTTTACACTCACAGCACATCGCAATTCAGATGCTAAACTGTCACTGGAAACACGATCTGAATCAGCAGAGTCGCAAACCGAAGTTGTTCCAAACACACTTAAAAAGTTTCCAGTAACTGAATCCAGTATCAGCTTTCTAAACAAATTAGAAATTCACTTCTTCAGTCACACTAGCCACATCTGGAGGCCCCGCCAGCCACATGTGACGTGCTAGTGGCTGCCGTGCTCTGAAACACTGGTGACGAGGGGTTCCCTGAGGAAAGCTGAGCAAATGCGTCCCCTCAGGGCGGCGGGGCCTCCACGGTGACGGGCCAGGCCCTCCGGCTACGTGAGGAGGCTGCTGACGAGGGGCCCCTCCTGCCTGGTACTCAGAACAGAAAGCCACTGTGGAGCCCGCAGCTGACACACGGGCGGGCTTGGCGGGCACTGGTCACACCCCGGCCGGCTGCGGCAGTGGGGACACGGAGCGAGGACGGAGAGCACAGGCCCCAAGGTGTGCTCTGGGTAGCCCCCAGATGTGCCAACAAGCCTTCCTGGTGCCACCCGGGCCTTTGCAAAGGCAGAAACAAAGCACACTGTCACATCCCGACGCCAGGACGAGGGATGAGGGCACACACGAGCCTTGAGGCCTCTTGTCTCATCCCATCCTTGCGGCCTGATGGCAGGAGGGAAGAGTCAGGCTTGGGGTGCAGCCCTCCCAGAGACCCCCTGCCCTCCCTCCACAGAGAACTGGGCTGCGGAGAGGCAGGAGCAGGGCAGGGGGTGGGTTTAAGCACCGAGATCCAGAGCAGATTTTGTACCCCCGTTCCCTCTCCTCTGTGCACCTGCTTTAGGTGTGTTCTGAGATCCCAGTATAAGATGCTGGGGAAACCCCAGATTCTCCTTTTCCTAAACGCAACTGCACTAACTGCATGCTGGAGGGACCTCATTGCTAACCACTTGAAACCAACTAAAAGAAAAGTCACAAAAGTAGGTCAGCGCAGGGTGGTGGTACTTGGATTCTCATGTAGCAAGGGGGTCGGGGCTAGAAAGCTCTTTGTAAGTACAAGGGGAAAGAACCCACCTGACCCCAGCCAGGCTGCAAATCTAAAATTTAGGATCTTATCGACTCTGAAGTTCCTCCCAGGGCTGTCCTGACACAAACAAGGCCCTATACCTCGGGGAGGGATGGGACGGGCAGGACACTCCAGGAAGCGTCTGGCACCCCAGCTGGGGCTCCCAGGGGCTGCATCTGGTTTCGCACACAGTGTCGATAAGCCCAGAGACTCAGACCGCCCTCGGATTGACAGCTTCCTGATCTGGACCCTCCCCAGAGGCAACCTGGGGGGACACGGGGAGTGCCGAGGGGCCGTCTTGAGGCCGTGGCACTGGCTCCCAGGGGTCACAGGTAGAGAGAAGCTCTCAGAACAGAACCAGGAAGCCGAGTGGAAGGAAGACACTCCCTTCCTATTAGAATCCTCTCATGACAAGTACAAACGTACCCAGTGGGGAAAATCCAGGACACGGGAGGGGGTGCCCCAGTCCAGGCTTCACAGGTGACAGAGCTCTGCTAGTGGCAGGAAGGATGATGCAGGAGCGGGAGAGCAGATTTCAGAGGCACCAGGTCATGCGCAGAACTCACACATGATTACAACTAAGCAAGTGGCCTTGGTGGTGGCAGGACCTCCCAGCCCCCCGAGAGTAAACGAGACCAGCACCCAGGCACGTGGCTTCACTGAACCCACGACACCAAACGCTCGTCCCTGCTGGTGAGCATGGCTCCCCACGTGTCAGAACCCAATATGGGGCCCAGGCTGTGATTCCCAGCTGGCTCCGGGAGTCACCTGGGCCCTCGTCATCCCTCCTGTCACCAGCCTTCACACAGGCCAGCGCTCCAGCCTAAACGTTCCTTCGCTCCCAAACTCCCTCAAACCTCACTCCTCCCGAGGAAGCTTCGAGCTTTCCCGAGTGTCTCCACGGTACGTGCAGGTGGTGCTAAGTCTTGAGATAACAAGATCTGGGGGATCCGTCACTGCCCTCCGGAGGTGGGGCTCTGGGGGAGGCAGGGGGACAGGGGGCGGGAAGGCAGAGGCTGGGGGCCGCACAGAGGGAGCTGGAAGGGACCCCAGGACAAGCCTGGATGCCTCACTCCACCTGGTCTGTCCCTTGGGCCAGAGGTGACCTGCGGTTCCCGGGGCTTGCAGGTGAAGCTCATTTTCTGCGTGTCGCCCAGCTGTCTCCATCAAATTGCCCAGTCCCTGTGGGAGATGGGCCTCCTAATTCCTTTCCAGCCAGTCTCTATCCAGGACTTATAAATAGAGCACCCACGGAGCCATGGCAGTGAATGTCCTGGAAGCCCTCAGGTAAGCCGTGCTTTCTCCAGGACCTCCTCCCTTGGTTGGAACAGGAGGACTCAGCTCCAGCTCCCCCCAAACCGACCCCCTCAACTTACCTCTGAGAATAA